GAGGTCAGGAGTTCGAGACCAGCCTGGCCGACACAGTGAAAACCCGTCTCTACCAAAAATACAAAAATTAGCTGGGCATGGTGGCACAAGCCTGTAATCCCAGCTACTCGAGAGGCCGAGGCAGGAAAATCACTGGAACCTGGGAGGTGGAGGTTGCAGTGAGCAGAAATCATGCCATTGTGCTCCAGCCTGGACAACAGAGTGAGATTCTGTCTCAAAAAAAAGAAAAGTTAGGCCAGGTGCAGTGGCTCATACCTATAATCCCAGCACTTGGGAGGCTGAGGCAGGTGGAACATGAAGTCAGGAGATCGAGACTATCTTGGCTAACATGGTAAAACCCCATCTCTACTAAAAATACAAAACATTAGCTGGCTGCGGTGGCACGCATCTATAGTCCCAGCTACTCAGGAGGCTGAGGCAGAAGAATCACTGGAACCCAGGAGGTGGAGGTTGCAGTGAGCCAAGATCAGGCATTCCAGCCTGGGTGACAAGAGCAAGACTTGGTCTTTAAAAAAAAAAAGTTAGGTATCATGAAGAAGGTTGCTAGAAACAACATTTTAAGGAATCCCAGCTTTCTATAGGATTGAGGAAATGTCATTTGTGGCTGATTTCTGGAAGGGTGCAGGAGGGAGGGTGAGCTCCAGGTGATATCCACTCTGTGGGCTGAGGGGCCTGCATGGAGGGTCCCACAGTACCTGCCTCCTGCCTCCCCTGCAGGCCCCTGTGTGGGGCTATACTCACTCCCCATCCTGGTCTCAGCCTGAACCCTAGAGAAGGCAGGTAAAGCTCCTTGTCTCAGAGGGGAGCCCACCAGGTCACTTGCTGGAGTTGGCTCCACAGTCCAAATAGGTGTTGGCAGGAACTGGTGTCACCAGACCACAGGGGACGCCCCCAGTACCTCCTCCCTCAGCCATATATACTGGCACCCACAATGCGAGACAGGCTCATGCTTGAAAGCAGCCAAGAGCCAGTGAAGTGGCAGTCAGCTTGCTCCCTGAGGGATAGGGCCCCTTCCCAGAGGTGGGCAGGTGAGGACATGCAGTGAGGCAGCTGCAGGTGACCCCTGGGCCACCGGTGCTGGGACACAGTAACTGCCATGAAGGGGACTAGAGAAGCAGCCAGAAACAGCCGCAGGCAGAGCAGGTCCTGCTTAGCCCCCAGGCTGGCTGGCTCTCACATGTTAAATACTGTTGAATAATGATGATAGGTTTGTCACAGCTGGTCATTCAGTACTACTTAATGACTGTAGCCACATCGTTTATGAACCAGATAAGTGATCTTAATAAAAAACAATGCAGATAGGCCAGTCTTTCCTAAACCTTTGCAATCCAGACTCATGTTTTTAATTAAAAAAAAATTTTTAAGAGACTAGCTCTCCTATGTTGCCCGGGCTGGAGTGCCATGACTCTTCACAGGCATGATCATAAGCACTGCAGCCCTGACCTCCTGTGCTCAAGCAATCCTCACACCTCAGTCTCCCAAGTAGCTGGAACTAAAGGTGCATGACACCATGGCCAGCTGAGGACTCAGTGTTGAGGTGGGGAGGATGGCCTTCCCAAAAAGAAACAAATGGAGTATGTTTGGTATAATCAAAGCAAAGCCAAAAGTACCCATTCGTCTCTTCTCATTGTCGTTTCTAAATTGCCAAGAAATGGACAAACTTCCACTGAGTCCTCCCTGTGGGTGTGTGGATGCACACACACAGTCTAACATACAAACATGTGTGCAGTCTTGCTCACAAATGTGTGTGCACAATCTCACACACACACATGCACAGTCTCACATACAAACACATGTGCCCATACAGTCTTGCATACAAATGCACGTGCACACAGCCTTGCATATAAATGCATGTGCACACACAGTCACGCAAACGCATGTGTGCAGTCTCGAATACAAACATGTGTGCACAGTCTCGAATACAAACACATGTACACACAGTCTCATACAAATGCATGTGTGCAGTCTCGCATACAAATGCACATGTGCACAGTCTCGCAAACGCATGTGCACACAGTCACATTTAAATGCACATGTGCACAGTCTCACATACAAATGCGTGTGCACATACAGTCTCGCATACAAACGCATATGCACGAACACACACACATGCCCTTTTGTGCGCTGGCTTGCTGGTCTAGACATACTCCCCTGCGGGCTGCTGCTTTTCCGTGATGACACATCCAGGCCTTGCTATGCAGCAGTGTGCTCAGCAGGCCCATGTGACATGGTACCAAAAACGAGAATAAGTGCTAGGAGCTTTTGGAGTAGTTAGGAACTGCCCCACACTTTTAGAGTAGTCAACAAAAGCATCAGTCCACAGCGGACTGGAGCTTAGTGGGCTGCATGGTGGAAAGCACTGTGAGGGTATGGCTCACCCTGGCACTCAACGGCTGCACGGCATTCCAGGGTCTGGACCCCAGCACCTCAGGATGGACTCTTCCCATTCAGATCACTCTGAGTTACATCCTTGCTATTGCAAACATTCTGCTAAGAATGCCCTTGCACATACATCATTTCCATGTCAGGATAGGATTTTTTTTTTGTTTTTGAGATGGAGTCTCACTCTGTCACCCAGGCTGGAGTGCAATGGCACAATCTCAGCTCACTGCAACCACCACCTCCTGGGTTCAAGTGATTCTCCTGCCTCAACCTCCAGAGTAGCTGGGATTACAGTGCACACCACCACACCTGGCTAATTTTTGTATTTTTAGTAGAGATGAGGTTTCACGTGTTGGTCAGGCTGGTCTCGAACTCCTGGCCTCAGGTGATCCACCCGCATTGGCCTCTCAAAATGCTGGGATTACAGGTGTGAGCCACCATGCCCGGCCAGGATCTCTTTTAAATAGATGATTCAAAGGGTGCAAACATTTAAAAATGGGACCAGTGCAACCCAACTGCTCTCAAGGAAGGCTTCCTATTGGCATTTGATGGTGCTTGCCCACACCCTCTTCAATGCCCAGCATGTGACTCTCCTCTGAGACGCAGAAGGACCTCGCTGTCAGCTGAATTCCTGCTCTCGGGTTCCCAGAGAGCCCAGCGAGGTCCTCATCAGTTACAGAGGTTTCTTCTGGGACTTGCCCTTCCACCCAGCGTCTGTGATCTCTAGCTGCTCCATCAGAGGTATTGACTCTTTTTATCACCAGGTATCTTACAAACATTTTCTCAGTTCCTTATCTTTTTCTCTTTGATGCTTTTCCTTAGAGATGCTTTACAATGGAATGATGTTCTAATCTGTGGATCACTGACCTTCCATGCCTTGGTGGATTGTAAAACTTCAGATTTTTTTTTTTTTTAATTTTTTTGAGATGGAGTCTCGCTTCGTAACCCAGGCTGAAGTGCAGGGGCGCGATCTCAGCTCACTCAATTTCCTTGCCTCAGCCTCCCGAGTAGCTGGGATTATAAGTGTGCCAATGAGCCCAGCCAAGGAGACATCTCTTTAGCTGGATTTGGGCCTGGTGACATAGGAACTGAAGAAGGCAGAAAGTATCTGGCACCCAGCAGGGGCTCCTCTACTGGATGGATAGATGGTTATACAAATGGGTAGGTGGGTGGATGGGTGTGTGGAAGATTGGATGGATGAACAGATGGATGGGTAAGTGAATGGATGGATAGGTAGGTGGAATAAGTGGTTAAATGAATGGATGGATGGGTGGGTGCATGGGTAGGTGGCTAGATGAATGAATGAATGGATGGATAGATGAACAGATGGATGAATGGATGGGTGGATACATGGATAGATGAATGGAAGGATGGATGGATGGATGGATGGATGAATGGATGGATGGGTGTGTGGGTGGGTGGATGAATGGATGGGTGGGTTAGTGGATAAGTGAGTGGATGATTGAATGGATAGGTGGATAGATGACTAGATGAATGGGTGGATAGGTGGGTGAATGGATGAATGGATAGATGGATGGATGAATGGGTGGGTGGGATGGGTGGATGGATGGGTGGGTGAATGGATAGATGACTGGATGGATGAGTGGGTGGGATAAGTGGTTAGATGGACGGATGGATAGTAGGTGCATGGATGGGTGGTTGGTGGATGAGTGAGTGGATGATTGGATGGATGGTGGATAGATGAATAGATGGTGGATGGGTGGGTGAATGGATGGATGGCTAAGTGGTTTGATTAATGGATGGATAGATGAGTGTGTGGGTAGGTAGATGGATGGGTGGGTGGGTAGAAACATGAATAGATGGATGGGTTGGTGGGTGTATGAAGGATGGATGGGTGGGTGGATGGATAGGTGGGTGGGTGCATGGATGAATGGGTGGGTGGATGGAAGGTAGATGGATGGATGGGTAGGTGAATGAATGGATGACTGGATGGGTAGGTGGGTGGGTGGGTGAATGGATGAATAAGTGGTTGGATGGATAGATGGATAGATGGATAGCTGAGTGTGTGGGTAGGTAGACGGATGGGTAGGTGGATGAATGGATGAATGGAAGGTAGATGGATGGATGGGTGGGTGAATGGATAAATGGGTGGGTAGATGGGTGAATGGATGGTTAGATGGATGGATGGGTGGGATAAATGGTTGGATGGATGGATAGGTAGGTGCATAGATGGGTGACTCACTGAAACACTCAGCCATAAAGCCAGTGTCCCTTGCCTTTCTTAGGAAGTCAAGCCCGGGTGTCTGTGTCCAGCAGACCCAGCTTCCACCTCAGTGAGGAGACACCGTTGCCTTTATCTAGAGAAGTCTCCGGCCATCTTTGCTGCTCACCACAGAGCCACACAGAAATGCCAGCTGCTTTGGTAACCTGTGGCGTTGTGCTCACAAATGCTGCCAGCTAAGTGCATTCTCAGAGTGCCCACGGCTGAGATGAGGCCCTGCTTTGTGCAGTGGCCTTTGACAAGGCTCCGCTCACACAGGAGCTCCTGTGCTCCCTCAGGCCTTCTTAAGAAGGCTGCAGCCAGAGCCCACCCGCTGACCCCAGGCGCACACCCAGAACCTGGCCGTACCCAGGCCATGGCCCCCACTTAGACTCACCTTCAGGGTGGCCCAGCTCTGCACGGAGCCTGTTCCCCATCTCGATGAGCTGCTCCTTTTCCAGGCGGAGGCTGAGGATTTTTCTGGCTGCCTCCTTCAGCTTCCTCTGGAGTTGGTGCATAGATAAGGTCTGTGGGGGCTGTGCCACCGGCCGGAGGTGCAGGACAAGCTCCCCCTGATCCTTGGCCTCCACAGGCCCTCCCTTGGAGAGGCCCTGTAACAAAACCCACAGGCAGATAGCCTGTGAGGCTGCTGTCATGGGAGCACGCCAGGGCTGCCTGCCCACTGAGCCTCCTCGCCTGCTCTACCAGGGTGGGCACTGCTGGCCACCACCGGGTGACGTCCTTCCAAAAGAAAGACAAAAAGAGTCACTGCTCTCAATGCTTCAGTGGGTTCCTTCTCTTCCACAAATAGGATAAAGGCCCACAAAATCTCCTAGGCCAGGGCAGCCCCCAGGCTCTCACTGCCCTCTGCCTCCTCCCCACCGTTCCTGCCTTCTGGCCATCTATGCCTTTGTGTCTTTCAAGTGAACACAATGAGAATCTGAGGACAACCAACCAGCACAGCAGCTCCCCAGGGAGAGCAGAGAGAAGGCCCTGGCCTCCAGCAGTGCCCAGGACCCAGGGCAGCTCCTGCAGGCATGGCTTAGCCCTCCTCCACTTCTCGGGCTCCTTCCTTTCCCTACCTGCTGGCTGGACACCCCTTAACCACCCTGCAGCCCGGCTGTGGCTTCCCACCCTCCTGAAGCAGGTGCAGGGGGAGCACAGAGGCAGTGGAGAGGGAGGCAGCCGACACAGGGACAGTGGTGGAGCTGGCTGGGCTCCCCATCAGCACCCCAGGCCCGGGCCAACCCTAGATCTGAGCCCCTGGGAAGCACCATGTTGTCCTTGCTCAGCTCAGTCTGAACTCGCAGCCCACACCATGCCAGTGCTACGGAGTGCAGTCCCAACACAAAAAGATGCCTGGACTGAAAATGGGGGCACAAGAAAAACCACGATGTCCAGGCCCTGGCAAGACGGGAGCCAATGGCCTACTTCCCCCATGCCACTCCTGGCCCCTGTGAGGAGCCAGGCTGCACTGTGCCCTGGCCACTCGAGCTCCCGATTGCCTGGAACAGGCCAGCACGCCCTGTTCCCGCCAGCTTCCTGGTGTGTCTTTCCAGGGCTGGCAGGTGCTGTTGCCCTCCAGGTGCTACTGTTCTTTGGATGGCCTGGGGCACGGCCACTGTATGCAGTGCCTCCGGGCGTGTGTCGCAGGCTTGTGTGGGGCACTCCGGGGCCACAGGGATGACACAGCAAAGAGAGACGTCTGCCTTCCTCTTGGACAGAGAAAGCTCTGTGGTGCTGCAGCCCCCAGCTGAGGCCAGGTGCAGGGCAGCCCGAGGGAGGGGCTGAGTCCGACTGGCTTCCTCCAGGGAGTGGGCCTTGTGTCTGCTCTGGGAGTAACTCTCTCCCCCACGGTTGGCAACTATGGAGCAGAGGCGCACTCACAGCCCTGCGAGGATGGACAGGAATGGGCTCTTGGGCCTGGGAGAGGCCAAAGCAGATCCGGAGGAAGGGAGGCCTGCTGGTAAAACAGATGGCAGATGGCCCGGAGCTGGGGGAGGGCGGCCAGGCAGGTGAGAATTCCAAGTCTGGTTCTGAAGCTCTGGGTCTTCTACAGGAACACACTGCGTTATTTTGTTACTTTAACTGAGGAAAGAACAGTCCTGAAAACGGACTTTGCAAACCTCAAAACAGAGATTGAAGAGAAAATTTCCTCTTCAAAAGCAGTCCCATCTCCTGGCAAAAACGCCCTGATGTTGCTCTGGGCCCTTGTGGCTGGTACCAGGCTCGAGGGGCTCTGAGTGGCCTTCTTACCGTTGACCAGAGGCACACGAAGGAGGGCATGACTCAGGGCCCATGTCCTAGCCACGTGATTCTGCACACAGTGCCCTGCAGGGCAGGCAGTGAGTGATCCTACGTCTCTTGGATTCAGTTTCTGGTCAAATTTTATTTAGTAAAAATTTATTTGGATGATTCTCTAAAATCTTTCCACAAAATAAGATTTCTACAGCCTGAGACACACTCAGGAATATCTTAACTACTGTGTGCTCCAGGGGCCACCACCCCTAGCGGGGCAGTAGTAGCCGTCCACCCATCTGCCCCAACGCCTGGGACTCCCCCTGCACCCCCTGGTGAGGGGAAAATGTCTCCATGTATCTGAACAATTGGAAGGAAATTAAGGAAAGTTTGGTTTGCTGAAATGTCTTCATGTCTTGAGGACATGTGTGAGTGAGTGACCACAGAGAAGTCCTTCTCAGAGACTGAGGCCTGAGCCTGGCACAGGGGGTTCTATCAAGCCTGGCCGGCACTCACCTCCCCATGCGGCCACTCCAACGCCTCCCGGCAGAGCCAGCGCCAACGCCAGGCCAATACTGCCCCCCAGTGGACCCAGGGACGTAACACATCACCCAACTCTGCCCAAGCGGCCAGTGCCGGGGAAAGTTTTGAGTTTTAAGGACTAGGGGCAGCTGATGTGGGTGGTGTAGCCAGGGAAGCCCAAACCCAGCCCAGTGGGGCCTGCCTGGGAGCAGAGCACCCCGCCGTCGTCCACAGGCTCTCCCTCTACCATGGGAGAAGTGGGACACATGCCTCCGCACACACCTGGCCCCAGCTTTGCACTCATGGTTCCTTGGCTGGGGCCAGGGAAGGGGACCAGTTTTTGTCAGAGGTGCTGTGGGACAGTCCCTGGGCCCCCGTGCGCTTCCTCACCCACCCTGCACAGGCTTCCTGGACTACAGGAGGTATGAGATGCGGTGCCAAGTCATGCCTCAGTAAAGTACTGTGGGTGCACACAACATGTGACCTGGTCCATGGCCTGTGTGCAAATGTTACCAACTGTCCAGATAATGCCCTGACACCTGTTTCTCCTGTGCAGGATCCAGGGTCCCACGTGGCATTTCTTTTTTTTTTTTTTTTGGAATGGAGTCTCACTCAGTCACCCAGGCTAGAGTGTAGTGGTGTGATCTTGGCTCAATGCAACCTCCGCCTCCTAGGTTCAAGCGATTCTCTGGCCTTAGCCTCCCAGTAGCTGGGATTACAGGTGCACACCACCATGCCTGGCTAATTTTTTGAATTTTTAGTAGAGACAAGGTTTCACCATGTTAGCCAGGCTGGTCTCAAACCCCTGACCTCAAATGATTCACCCGCCTCAGCCTCCCAAAATGCTGGGATTACAGGCATTAGCCACCATGCCCGGCCCAAGTGGCGTTTCTATGTGGGATCTCCCAGGTCTCCTAACTAGAGTGGCTCTCCAGCTTCCCTGTGCGTTTGGCCGCCCACTGAGCAACTAGACAACTAATCTGTACACATTCCTCTGTTTGGGCCCGTCTGAGGCTTCCTCGTGCTTAAGCTCTGCATTTTTGGCAGGGACCCCAGGAGTGAGTCTATACCATCTCAGTGTGACCCGCCTGAAGGCACATGACCTCAGTGCATCCCAGCACTGGCGATAGGAGTTCTGACCACTCGGGTAAGCTGGCGTCCAACAGGCTGCTCCACTGAAGTCAGCATTTCCCTTGGAAATAAGAAGTCACGTGTGGGGAGATGCTGCTTCCCACCGTCCGATGGGAATCCCTCTGAGTCAGCGCCCGTCCGTGATGGCCCAGCGCACTGTTCCTTTCTTTGTCCTTGGCTGGCACCCTTGTGTGAGGAGTTCCCCATTCCCTGGACTGATCTGTCCATTGCTATTGGCATGGACCCATGATTTCCTGGTTGGGTCAGTGGACTATGGTCTTTACCATCACTGCCTGTTGGCCTAGATCTGGTCAGTGGAGACCCCTTTCAGCTAGTTACTGTGCCCTCCAAACCTGCCTCCATGCTGGAGCCCTGGGGTTCCAGTGAGTAGAGCAGGAACCACCGGCTCAGTCCGGGCTGCGGGCCCTCTCAGGGGACAGAGCTGGGATCAGATATACATGCAGCTCTAACCACGTCTCTCTACACCCAACGTAACGGACACATTTATCCTCTACCTGGGGGCCCAGCCCCGATGCAGCCCCAGCAGCACCACCTTCCTGCCTCCCTTCTCCATCTGGGATCCTTTCTAGCGGCAAGCAGCAAGGACCTGGGCCCGCCCTTGCCTCCAGGGGCTCTGCCATGCTGCTTGGCAGAGGATAGAGCCGTAGTGGGCCACTCATTTCCTGCCTAGGTCACAGGCTGCTCAGACCCAGGAGGGGCCTGGAGCCTGACTGCTGTGTCCATGCAGGTAGACACAGAGGCCCGGAGTGTTGGCCCTGCCTGTGCCTCCGCTCCAATAACCGGAATTGGGCTGTAGGTGGCTTCAGCTCCCAGTCTGCCTGCTGTGGGATTTAATTCCTCAATGTACAAATCTGCTTTCGGGCAAGGCCTGGTGGCCCACGCCTGTAATCCCAGCACTTTGGGAGGCCGAGGTAGGCAGATCACTTGAGACCAGGGGTTCAAAACCAGCCTGGCCAACATGGTGAAATGTGGTCTTTACTGAAAATACAAAAATTAGTCAGGTGTGGTGGTGGGCGCCTGTAATCCCAGCTACTTGGGAGGCTGAGGCAGGAGAAATGCTTGAACCCGGAAGGTGGAGGTTGCAGTGAGCTGAGATCATGCCACTGCACTCCAGCCTGGGTGACAGAGTGAGGCTCTATCTCAAAACAAAAAAAGGAAAAATTCTGCTTATTTGTATAAATTACTGTCCCTTCCCTCTATACAAGTGGGAAGACAATGGGCTATGAAAGCGTTGACAGTTAGAGCTCCTGGGGCCCCTTGCTGCCCAAGGGGGCGCCCACCGTGTCCTAGAACACATGGTGCTCAGGAAGGTGAAAGAAGTGTGGGAGAGTGACAGGGCACCCGGATGAGTGGGAGACGCGTGGGAGAGTGACAGGGCGCCCGGGTGGGTGGGAGACGCGTGGGAGAGTGACACGGCACCCCGGTGGGTGGGAGATGCGTGGGAGAGTGACATGGTGCCCCACTACAGTTACCTCAGTTATCAACAGTCTGGGGTACACAGTCAGGGAGGCTGGGCAGCCTGTCCTTCACGGCCTTTCCCTCTGGCCTTAGGTAGGAAGCAGTGGGCCCTGTTGGTTGGCTCTGCCAAGTGGCAGAATCAGGGCCTGGGGCCCTCTCCACAGCTCAGAGCTATGGCTCAAACCCAGCCATGGAGCTGGGGGCCAGTATCTCGGGGCCAAGGGCCTGACCAGGACCAGGATAGGAGAGCCATGGCCTGGAGCAGCTGTGTGGCTCTGAATGCAGCAGTGAGGGCCATGTGTCCCCCTACCCAGAGAGGACCCACTGATCGGCATGGGGCAGGCAGGGCTGTGCACAGCCCCTCAGCAGGCCGTCAAGGGCCCTGTATTAAAGCAGACATGAGCTGCCTTCAATGTGTGAGTTTCCAACACAAGATGCTGTTAACTGGAGGGAAGACTGGGATGGGCCACTCCCACCAACAGTGTGTCAAGGTGAAGGAGCAGAAGAGGAAGTCGGCAGAGGAAGAAGGTGGAGGAAGAGGGAGAAAGGACGGAGCTGGGCCCATTTCCAGGCACGGCCTTCGCTGCAGCCCTTGTCCCATCTAAGCTTCCAGGGCACACAGACAGCACTGCCGGCAGAGCACAGGCAAGGACAGCTTCTGCAGCAGGAGCCCTGAGAGGCGGGTGGCAGGAGGAGCTGGCAGGCACCCACCTCTCTCCTGAGGACCACGGCGTCCGAGGCTGGGGACTGCTTCCTTCCTGAAGGCTCCACTCCCCAGTGCTGGGCTATCCCGAGATGCTTCCGCAGCTCAGCCACCTGCTTCCACAGCTCCAAAACCTCCAGGTGTACCTGGTTCACCTCACGGGGAAGCTCGAGCTGGAGAGCGGCTGGCTCTAGGGGTTCCCGCAGCACCTAGGAGCCATTTCACAGGCAGTGTTAGGAATGAGGCCGTGGCCTGGGCTGGAGCAGGTCCTCGGGAACCGACAGGAAGCACTGTGAGTGCGAGCAAAACACAGGGGAGCCGGGGTCAGGGGTCAGGGCCTCCTCCCCAGCTGGACACAAATGCTCGCAGCCCTCCGCCCCACACCCAGGCTGCTGCTCCTCCCACCCTGCCCAGCTGGCCCCAGCGACTCCCCTGTGCCCTGCTCTGGACTCCCAGGCTGGTGGGGAGGATCCATGCATGGACAGAGGCGGGGCACCTCAAAACCCCTTCCTGAGCCCTCCTCCCAGGGAGAAACAAAGGCCTCCAGAATTGCAAGTAACCAGCAGGTAGTATAGATTGTTCTCTTCTGCTAATCAAGGGGACAGAGATGGGGAGGCCAGAGGGAGGCAGGCCAGGAGGTCAGAGGGCTGAGGCTATCAAAAGGCAGGTGGAGGCCAAGAGGCTGGGGCGAATGGGGGCAGGAAGAGGGAGGCTGCAGGCTGGCCATGAGACCCACCCTGGGGGCCCTGGGCTGGCCTCTGACTCTCACTGCCTCTCTCACTGACTGCGCCAGTCCTGGCGAGAAGGAAGAAGAGCACAGCAGGTGAGAAAAACCGCACGCCTCCCCGTACCAGAGCCTTCCTGCCTCATTCCCAGGAACATGAAATATTACTTTCCCTATTCCAGGGACTCCTATGGTGAATTCTTTATGAATATTTTATTTTTGAATTTGTCACCTACACACAAATAAAGGTTATCATTTCATTTACAGACACTGCTAAGTAAAAACCCAACCAAACAAAAATATTTCAGGGTGAATGTTTTTCCCAGGATAATCAAATCATCTATGATTAACCAAGGCAAAATTAAAAGCTTGTATTTATTTTTATTTATTTACATATTTTATTCAGACAGCATCTTACTTTGTTGCCTAAGCTGGTCTCAAACTCCTGGGCTCAAGCGATCCTTCTGCTTTGGCCTCCCAAAGTGTTGGGATCACAGGTGTGTGCCACTGCATTCAGTGTATTTTTCTTTTTAGAGACAGGGTCTTGCTCTGTCGCCCAGGACAGGGTACAGTGGTGTGATCATGGCTCACTGCAGCCTCGACCATCTGGGCTCAAGTAATCCTCAGCCTCCCGAGTAGCTAGGACTAGACGCACCACCATGCTTGGCTAATTATTTTGGTTTTTAGTACAGATGGGGTCTTGCTGTGTTGCCCAGGCTGGTTTCAAACTGCTGAGCTCAAACAGTCCTCCCACCTCACCTTCCCAGTGTGGAGATTACAGGCATGAGCCACTGTGCCCAGCCTTAGTTTATTTTTTGTAGAAAGAGGGTCTCCCTATGTTGCCCAGGCTAGTCTCTAACTCCTGGGTTCAAGTGATCTTCTTGCCTCAGCCTCCCAAAGTGTTGCGATTACAGGTGTGCACCACTGTGAGCAGCCTGAAAGCTGTATTTAAATGTTTATTTCTTGTCTGTAGCATTTGTGTGGGGGAAATGGGGAATCAGCAGCTGCAAAGCATGAGGGATGTGGAGCCCCTCACAGGCACGTGGAGCTTCAGCCCCACAGACAGAAATGGAGAGTGGCCACGTGTCTCTGCACTGCAACAACAAGGCCACATTTCAATCAAGGTGAGATGCCAGGCGTCGCTGGAAAATGACAGACATGAGGAGAAATGCACATGGTGATCAGCCTCATTTGGCCATTCCACCGGGTGGGCATGTTTTGAAACATCACGTCGTGTACCACAGACACATACAACTTATATTTGTCATTTTCTTTCTTTCTTTGTTTTTGAGACAGAGTCTTGCTCTGTTGCCAGGCTGGAGTTGAAGTGCAGTGGCACAGTCTCGGCTCACTGTAACCTCCGCCTCCTGTGCAGTGGTTCAAGTGAGTCTCCTGTCTCAGCCTCCCGAGTAGCTGGGACTACAGACATGCACCACCACACCCAGCTAATTTTGTATTTTTAGTAGAGATAGGGTTTCTCCATGTTGGTCAGGCCATATACAAATATATGGTCCTGGCCTATATCTGTCATTTTCAAGCAATCAATCAGTCAAACATGTTAGGAAGATTAAAAAAAAAAAGGCATTGAGTTTCTGGAGCACTGCTCACTCCCTCAGCAGATGGGAAGTCAGGAATCCTTTCTGTTCCTAGAGAGATATTCTGCATAGGGAAGAAGCAGTGCTGCCAGGAAAGGGACTTACATATTTATGGATGCGAGAGGCATACGAAGGTCCCCTCGCTGTCACCTCACAAGGAATAAAGGCAACGGGATAAGGACAGCACAACTCAGAAGCACAAGCAACAGGTGACATAATCAACTGGACTAGATCAAAACTGGAAACATTTTGTGACCTTCAAAGGACACCATCAAGAAAGTGAAAAGACAGGCCAGACTCAGTGGCTCACCCCATAATCCCAGCACTTTGGGAGGTGGAGGCGGGACAATCACCTGAGGTCAGGAGTTTGAGACCAGCCTGGCCAACATGGTGAAACCCCTTCTCTACTAAAAATACAAAAATTAGCCAAGTGTAGTGGCAGGAGCCTGTAATCCCAACTACTTGGGAGGCTGAGGCATGAGAATCGCTTGAACACGGGAGGCGGAGGTTGGAGGGACCTGAGATTGTACCGCTGCACTCCAGCCTGGGAGAAAGAGAGAGAGAGAGAGAAAGTGAAAAGGACAAGTCAAAGAATGAGAGAAAAATGTAGCAAATTGTATATCTAATAATGGACTTGTATCTGGAATATAAACAGAATTCTTACAACTCAACAATACAAAGACAAATAACCCTGCCAGGCACGGTGGCTCAAGGCTGTAATCCCAGCACTTTGGGAGGCCTAGCCAGGTGGATCACCTGAGGTTGGGAGTTTGAGACCAGCCTGACAAACATGGAAAAACCCTGTCTCTACTAAAAATACAAAAAACAAAACAAAACAAAACAAAAATTAGCCAGGTGTGGTGGCACATGGCTGTAGTCCCAGCTACTTGAGAGGCTGAGGCAGGAGAATCACTTGAAACTGGAAGGTGGAGGTGGAGGTTGCGGTGAGCCAAGATTGTGCTTGGCTCCAGCTTGGTCAACAAGAGTGAAACTCCATCTCAAAAAAAAAAAAAGACAAATAACTGGGCAAGGGATCCAAATGGACGTTTCTCCAAAGAAGACACATGACTGACCAAGGAGCAGGTGAAATTCTGCTTGACATCATGAGTCATCAGGAATATGCAAATCAAAACCTCAGAGAGGTCCCACTTTACTCCCACCAGGATGACCAGCAACACAGCCAGAAAACAGCTGATGGTGGGGATGGGTAACTGGAACCCTGACACAGTGCTAGTGAGAAGGTAAAATGGTGCGGCTGCCGGGAAAAACAGTGTGGTGCTGCCTCAAAGGGTGAAACACAGTCACCATCTGACAGGGCGGTTCCACTCCTAGGTGTACCACCAGGAGAACTGAGCGAGTAGTCCACACAGGAACTTGCACGGGAATGTTCACAGCAGCATTGTGTATAAGCCAAACAGCGGAAACAACCCAAGTGTCCACCAGTCATGAACGAGAAACAAACTTGGCCCAGCCATACAGAGGAGTATTAGCCGTGGAGCAGGGAGGTTCTAACATGCACAGAGCCGACGCAACTACACCCTGAAAACGTTCCACTCAATCAAAGAAGCCAGCCCCAAAGGACAACTGTTGTAAGATTTTGTTACTACGAGGTCCCTATAGTAGACAAATGTATTGGGACGAGAGTGGAATGGTGGTTCCTAGAGGCTGGGAAGCAGGGAAGGGACGATCCTGCTGTGTGGTTATAGTACAAGGTTTCTTGTGGGGTGGGTAGAAAGGCTCTGGTAAGGGCTGGGCATGGTGGCTCACGCCTGTAATCCAAGTGCTTTGGAGGCCAAGGCGGGCGGATCACCTGAGGTCGGGAGTTCAAGACTAGCCTGACCAACATGGTGAGACTCCTTCTAAAAAAAAAAAAAAAAAGAAAAAAAGAAAGGCTCTGGTAATACAATGTTTAGACAACATTGTGAATACACTTAATGACACCGAATGGTACACTTCAACATGGGAAACTTTGTCATATATTAATACATTTTACCACAATTTTTAAAGAGTCAAAACCAAATCGATGTCAGGAATCTGTAGCAATCAAACCGGGGTTGAGAGCCCAGCCCATGGGAAACAGGGTGGGCTCACTGCTGGATGCACGCAAATACTGGTCCCAGTGCGCATACGACCCGACCCCCAAAAGGCAAGGGCCCAGGAGGTGAGAACAGCAGCGCTTGCGAGGCTCTAGTGCCTCAGATGAAGTGCGGCTGTCACTGATGCAGAGCACACGTGCCCGGCTGACCAGGGCCCCTCTAGTGGGCAGCCCTGAGGCATAGCCAGGCCATGCCTTCTGCCCACCAGCACTGCCTCCACTGCCTGGACCATGTTTCCCTTCCATGAGCACGCCTAAGATTAACCAGCTCCTAGGACCTCCCTATAGCCCCTTCCTCAGAAGGAAACAGGCACCTCTGTGCCTGTCAGTGGACTCCCACCAGGCAGCAGCTCAGAGCCCACGCGCCTGACCCCCACCAGCAGCTCTCTAGGAGGGAGATCCCACAAACTCAAGTGCCTTACCTTCTGTCTGAGTCGCATCACCAGCAGGTTTAGGAGCTGCACTCTGTCCCCGAGCTTCCTGAGTGCCAGTCCAGAGGCTACTTGACCAGCCTGGACAGACCCTCCTGCAGAGAAGAGTGACTTTGGTCAGGCTCAGATTTGAAAACAAAGGAAGGCCTTTCTGGAGAGACACACATCTCTATCAGCTCTCCCTTTCCCAGTACCAGTGGCTGACCCCAACATGAAGCTGTTCTTCACCGGAGTCAACAGATCTGGGTCCACATGAATATCAGAGATGCGGTTACAGAAAGCATAATGCTTATGTAAAGAAAGCAAGAATCCGTGTAGGAAGAAGTCTGACCTTACCATGTCGTGTCTGATAGAGACCAACTGCTCCAGTCTGTCCACATAAAAAGCCACTTGTTTGGAAATCAAGAAAAATGATGCCAAATAACACAGGGCCAAAGAAAAAAATCACAACGCACATCAAAAATTACTTTGAATGGAAAGATGACAACAATAGCACTTTCCAAACTTAAGGAATGCATCTAAAGTTGTCCTTCTGAGAATAATTACAGCTTTAGAGAAATATTTCAGAAAAGAAGAAAGGCTGAAAACCAATGAGCAAAACATTCATCTCAAGAAATTAGAGGGCCAGGTGCAGTGGCCCATGCCTGTAATCCCATCACATTGGGCGGCTGAGGCAGGAGGATCCCTCGATCCCAGGAATTCAAGGTTACAGTGAGCTATGATTGTGCCACTGCACTCCAGCCTGGATGACAGTGTGAGACCCTGTCTCTCTCTTTCTCTCTCTTTCTTACACACACACACACACACACACACACACACACACAGAGAGAGAGAGAAATTTAAAACAAATGACCCAAATTAAAGCCAAACAGGGCAGGGCATGGCGGCTCAGGCTCGTAATCTCAGCACTTTGGGAGGCTGAGATGGGCAGATTGCCTGAGGTCAGGAGTTCAAGACCAACCTTGCCAATATGGCGAAACCCTGTCTCTGCTAAAAAGATACAAAAATCAGCCAGGCATGGTGGTGTGAACCTGTGGTCCCAGCTACTCGGGAGGCTGAGGCATGATAATCGTTTGAAATCGGGAAGTGGAGCTTGCAGTGAGCTGAGATTGCGCCACTACACTCCAGACTGGGTGACAGACTCTGTTTCCAAAAAAAAAAAAAGCCAAATAAAATAGGAGAAAAAAAGAATAAAGTTAGTATCAGATACTGAGGAAACAGAAAATAAATGTATTGTAGAGAATCAACAAAACCAACAGCTGATTCTTTGAGAAGGCTAAAATAAATTAAGCAAGGAAAAAATAGAAGCAAATGACCAATATAATGAATGGCAAAAAGGAATCATCACTTTAGATCCCACAGACATTTAAAAACTCATACGAGGATATTATAAGCAACTTTATGTGAAAAATTTGAAAATTTAGATGAAATGGACAATTTCTTTGTAAAATATAACATGAGAAATGTATAAAAAAGAAAATCTGGATGTCCTGTAACTGAAAAAAACTGAATTCACAATTTTAAACCTTCCCGCAAGAAAAACTCCAGGCCCAGCTGGTTTCAAAGTTGAATTCTACCAATTATTTAAGAAAAATTAATGTAAGTCTAATAGAAACTTTTTTAGAAAACAGAAAAATAGAGAATACTTTCCAACATATTTATGAGGCCAGAGTAACTTCGATTTCAAAACCTTACATCAACATTATGAGAAATGAAAATTACTGGCCAGTTTTGCTCACGGACATAAATAATTCTCAATAAAACACTGGCAGACCAAGCTGGGCATGGTGGCCCACACCTGTAATCCCAGCTACACAGGAGACCAAGGCAAGAAGATGGCTTGAGCTCAGGAGTTCAAGAATAGCCTGGTCAAAGAGCAAGACCATGTCTCAAATAAACAAAAAAACAAAAGAAATATCAGCAAACAAAATCTGTCAATATATAAAAAGAAGAATCTGTCATAACATGTTAAATTCACCCTGGAACTGCGAGGTTGGTTTCACAAAATGAAACCTGCAGTCCACCTGATTTCCCTTACTCATCTCAGCTACAGGTCCAGTCAGAACACAAAAGGCCCCACTAGGGGAAAATTCTGAATGGTGAGAAAAGAAGGCTGAGCATCTAGGGGCCTCGGATCCCAGGGATGGCTGGCAGGGAGTCCTTCATCTCCTTCCTGCACATGCTGAGCTGGTGCTAGGCAGCTCAGACCAAAAAAAAAAAAAAAAGGCCTAAGAGAAGCTGCTCTTGGGACCAAAGGGACCAAAGGGGCAGGAAGAGGGGGACATGCAGGTGAGCCCTTGGGACCACACCTGCCGTCCTGCCAGCCCACGGCCCACAGCCTGCTATAGACAAAGTCCAGTGCAGCTTCCAGGAGAGCATGTGCTGAGGGTCACAGGAGGAAGGAGGCCTCCATGAAGGCCCCAGGGACTCGCTGTATAAAACCAGCCAGAATCAACAGAACCAGCAGAGCAAAACCTCTGACAAGTGGGCCCAGGGCAGGGACGCTGCCCAGGATTTGATTGGCCACTTGGTGACTCACATGTGGGCAGAAAAAATAGCATCATCCAGGCTCTGGAAAGTAACAGACATTCAAGCCTCAGCCCGCCAGAGTGTGAACCCAGAAAGGTTGATTACCTGACAAAATAAAAGACAGAGTTAAAATAAGTTTAATAAGAACTAGAATTTCATAATGTGACACTCAAAATGTTCATGATACATTAAAAAATTACTGGAGGCTGCCTGTAATCCCAGCACTTTGGGAGGCAAGGCAGGAGGATCGCTAGAGCCAAGGGGTTTGAGAATAGCCTTGGCAATACAGTGAGAGCCCATCTGTAATTAAAAAAAAAATAAAAAATAAAACTACTCATCATACTGATGACCAAAAAAAAATCTCAATGTGAATAAAATAGACAACACTAAGATGACACAGACAATGGAAGTATGGGATGAAGATCTTATTTATTTATTTTTTGAGACGGAGTTTCGCTCGTTACCCAGGATGGACTGCAATGGCGCCATCTCGGCTCACCGCAACTTCCGCCTCCTGGGTTCAAGCAATTCTCTTGCCTCAGCCTCCTGAGTAGCTGGGATTACAGGCACGCGCCACCATGCCCAGCTAATTTTTTGTATTTTTAGTAGAGACGGGGTTTCACCCTGTTGACCAGGATGGTCTCGATCTCTCGACCTCGTGATCCACCCGCCTCGGCCTCCCAAAGTGCTGGGATTATAGGCTTGAGCCACTGCACCCAGCTGGGATGAAGATTTTAAAGTAGCCATCATAAAAATACTCCAGCAAGTTTCTGGGGATGGCAGAAGTGGAAGGATTGCTTGAAGCCAAGAGTTTAAGATCAGCCTGGGCAATATCGTGAGACCCCATCTCTACAAAAAAATAACAAAAATTAGCCAGGCATGGATGGTACCTATAATCCCAGCTCTTCAGGAGGATCACTTGAGCCTAGGAGGTCCAGGCTGCCATGAACCATGATCATGCCACTGTGCTCCAGCCTGGGTGGCAGAGCAAGACCCTGTCTCTAAAAAAACAAACAAATACACAAACAAAAAATTCTGGCAAGCAATTTGATATACTCTAAAATCATATGGCAAAATGAAAGTTTCAGTAAAGTAACATATAAAGAAAACTAAGGAGATGTGATGGCTCATGCTTGTAATCCCAACACTTTGGGAGGCTGAGGCAGGAGGATCACTTGAGGCAAGAAGTTCAAGACCAGCCTGGACAACATAGTGATATTTCATCTCTACAAATATAAAAAGAAATTAGCTGGGCATGGTGGTGCACACCTGTAGCCTTGAGATCCAGCTACTTTGCAAGCTAAGGTGGGAGGATCCCTTGAGCCCAGGGGGTCAAGGCTGCAGTGAGCTATGACCACACCACCGTACTCCAGCCTGGACAACAGAGCAAGGGCCTGTCTCAAAAACAACAACAAAAAGAAAACGAAAACGGAAATTTTAGAAACAGAAACAAAAATCTCACTGAATGGGCTCAACGGCAAAATGGGAATGACAAAACAAAAAACCGATAAACTTGAAGAACAGAGGAAAAGAAATTCTCCAATTTGAACAAGAGTGAAAACAAATTGAAAAAAAAAAAGAAACAAAATGCCAAATGTGGGTGAAGGGGAGAAGGAAAGCAAAGCACACTGCCATGTGTGTACCTACGCAACTGTCTTGCATGCTCTGCTCATGTACCCCAAAACCTATAATCCAATAAAAAATTAAAAAAAAAAAAAAAAAAGAAAAAAAAGAAACAAAAGATAAAAAACACAGCCTCAGGGACCAGCAAGATAATAACAAAAGACCAAACGTTTGTGTCCTCAGAGTCCCAGAAAGAAAAAGAGTGTGAAGCTAAAAAAATAGTTGAAAAATAATGGATGAAAACTTCTGAAATTTCATGAAAGACATAAAGCCTCAGATTAATATCAAGAAGGATAAACCAAAGAAATCTATGCCCAGATACAACATAATGAAATTTCTAAAAACTAAAGACAAAGACCGTTTTGTTGGTTTTTTTTTTGAGACGGAGTTTTGCTCTTGTTGCCCAGGCTGGAGTGCAGTGGTGCAATCTCAGCTCACTGCAACCTCTGCCTCCTGGTTTCAAGCAATTTTCCTGCCTCAGCCTCCCAAGTAGCTGGGATGCACACCACCATGCCCAGTTAATTTTTGTATTTCTAGTAGAGATGGGCTTTTGCCATATTGGCCAGGCTGGTCTCGAACTCCTGACCTCAAGTGATCCACCTGCCTCAGCTTCCCAAAGTGCTGAGATTACCAGCATGTGCCACCACGCCCTGCTACTTTTTGTATTTTTAGTAGAGACAGGGTTTCGCCATGTTGGCCAGGCTGGTCTTAAACTCCTGATCTCAGGTGATCCACCTGCCTTGGTCTTCCAAAGTGCTGTGATTACAGGTGTGAGCCATGGCGCCTGGTCTGTCAACATAATTTTAAAAATCAAGCGTGAAAGAGTAGTCTATCATATTTACCCTTCCTATTTTCCTGCACTCCTGACGTTCCTAGTTTCCTTCCTTCTGTTGTGTCTAAAGTACTTCCTTTGTTGGCCGGGCACAGTGGCTCATGCCTGTAATTCCAGCGCTTTGGGAGGCCAAGGCAGGCAGATGACCTGAGGTTGGGAGTTCAAGGCCAGCCTGACTAACATGGAGAAACCCTGTCTCTACTAAAAATACAAAAAAAAAGTAGCCGGGTGTGGTGGTGCATACCTGTAATCCCAGCTATACGGGAGGCTGAGGCAGGAGAAACACTTGAATCTGGGCGATGGAGGTTGAGATGAGCCGAGATTGTGCCATTGCACTCCAGCCTGGGCAACAAGAGCAAAACTCCATCTCCAAAGAAAAAGGTACCTCTTTTATCACTAAATGGTCGTAAACATTTTCTTTATCTGAGAATGTCTTTATTCATTCTCATTCCTGAAGAATATTTTTATTGAATGTAAAATATTATGATTTGACAGTTTTTTGCTTTCAGTACTTGAAAAAGATTATGCCACTTCCTTCTGATGAGAAATTTGATGATAGTTGCTGCTGAGAGCCCACCAGAGCTCAAGTCACTGTCCCCTGCAGGCTGTGCATCGCTCTCTCTGCATGCTTTCAAGAGTTTTTGTCTTTAGGCCAGGTGTCTTTAGGCTCACACCTGTAATCCCAGCACTTTGGGAGGCTGAGGCAAGTGATCACTTGAGGCCAGGAGTTGAGATCAGCCTGGCAAACATGGTGAAACACTGTCTCTACTAAAAATACAAATGCCACCAGCTGGACATGGTGGCACATGCCTGTAATCCCAGCTACTTTGGAGGCTGAGGCATTAGAATTGCTTGAACCCAGGAGGCAGAGGTTGTAGTGAGCTGAGACTGTACCACTCCAGCCTGGGGGACAGAGTGAGATTCCATCTCAAAAAAAAAAAAACAAAAAAACAACAAGAAATTAATTTCAATTATAAAGAGAGAGGTAGGTAAAAAGAAAAAGCGATGAAACAGTTATACCACACAAATGCTAATCAAAAGAAAGCTCCAGTGGATTAATTACTATCAGACAAGGTAGACGACAAAACAAAGAATGACCCTAGAACAAAGAGTAAGATTACATAACAATATAAGGGTCAATTATCCTAAAAAAATAAAAATAAAAGGACCTGGCAGGGCACAGTGGCTTTGCCTATAATCCCAGCACTTTGGGAGGCTGAGGCAGGCGGATCACCTAAGGTCAGGAGTTCAAGACCAGCCTTGCCAACATGGTGAAACCCCATCTCTACTAAAAATACAAAAATTAGCTGGGCATGGTGGCAAGCGCCTGTAATCTCAGCTACCTGGGAAATTGAGGCAGGAGAATAGCTTGAGCCTGGGAAGTGGAGGTTGCAGTGAGCTGAGATCGCGCTATTGCACTCCAGCCTGGGTGACAGAGCAAGACTCTGTTTCAAAAAACAAACAAACAAACAAAAAACACCCTAAATGTATACATATCTAACAACAAAGATACAAAATATATGAAACAAACACTGAAAGAATTATGGTTTTAAATATAAAAATCTATATTAAAACAGGAATATAAAGAAACTTCCTTAACCTCCCTTCACCTCCCACTGCAAAAAACCTTCAGCAAAAACTAATCCTAAAAAAGTGAAATGCTGAATGTTCTTCCCCTGGGATAAGGGAGGAAGCCAGCTATTATCAACATCATACTGGAGAGTTTAACTTGGGGCAATAACACAAGAAGAAGAAGTAAATAATATCAGCATTGGAACAAAAATAAAACCTCCCTTATTTTATTATTATTATTATTTTTTGAGATGGAGTTTCTCACTGTCGCCTGTGCCAGAGTACAATGGCACAATCTCAACACACTGCAGCCTCTGCCTCCCGGGTTCAAGGGATTCTTCTGCCTCAGCCTCCCGAGTAGCTGAGATTATAGGCACACATCATCATGCCTAGCTAATTTTTTTTGTATTTAGTAGAGACAGGGTTTCACCATGTTGGTTAGGTTGGTCTCGAACTCGTGATCTCAAGTGACCACCTGCCTCAAGCTCCCAAAGTGCTAGGATTACAGGTGTGAGCCATCAAGCCCAGCATTTTTTTTTTTTTTTAAGACAGAGTCTCACTCTGTCACCCAGGCTGGAGTACAGTGGCACAATCTTGGCTCACTGCAGCCTCCCCCTCCCAGGTTCAAGCAATTCTTCTGCCTCAGGCGCCTGAGTAGCTGGGATTACAGGTGCTTGCCACCATCTCCGGCTAATTTCTTTGTATTTTTAGTAGAGATGGGGTTTGACCATGTTGGCCAGGCTGGTCTCGAACTCCTGACCTCAGGTGATCTATCCACCTAGACCTCCCGAAGTGCTGGGATTACAGGCACGCACTCCAGCGCCTGGCCAAAACCTCCCTTATTTGAGACAATCTGACTGTGCCAGTGGAATGTCCTGTCAGGCCCCTCCCTTTCTTTTCCTGCCTTAGGGCTGTAGGTGGGGCCTGCCTCCCCTATGCTAAGTGGGGCTGTGGCTCCAGCAGGTCGAGGGGCATCTCTGTGGAAGGCAGCCAGGCTGGGCTGTCAAGCTCGCTGGTGTGGCAGCGTCCAGGCAGGAGAGGGGCCTCCAAATAGAGGAAGGGGCTGCAGCAGCAATGGGGGATTGGTTACAACAAGAGGACCCTATCTAAGTAACTCTGTTAGTGATCATTGGTGAAAAGGAAGTTAGAATAATGAAAAAGGAAGTTAAAATAATGAAAAAGAAAGCTAGAATGTTAGAATGAACCTTTTGATGTTGGACTAACCACAATGGAATAGACTAGCCTAGGAGTTTGTCTTGAAATTAAGATATTCCATTCACCAAAGACAAGGAATAAAAGGCAAGCCATGGGTTGGGAGAAGATAATTGCAACACATATAACTGACGATAGGCTCATATTGAGAATGAAATACCCTAAAAATCTATGACAAAAGGCAGATAATCCAATAAAAAATGAGCAAAGGACTTGACCTGGAGCTTCAAAAGAGAGTCTATCAAAGGCCAATTCTATGGACTGAACTGTGTCCCCTCCAAATTTATAGGTTGAAGCTCTAACCCCAAGCATGATTGTATTTGGAGACAGGGTCTTTAAGGAGGCAGTTAAGGCCACATGAGGTCCCAAGGGTGGTGCCCTGGACTGGAGTCCTTACAAGAAGAGGAAGAGACACCAGGAGTGAGCACACAGTGGAGAGGCCACGCTGGGACACAGGGAGAGAGCGCCGTCTGCAAGCCACGGAGAGGCCTCAGGAGGAACCCACCCTGCTGGCAGCCTGATTTCAGACATGCAGACTCCAGAAGTGAGACAATAAATCCTGTTTTTTTTAGCCACCCAGGATATGGTGTTGAGTTATGGCAGCCCTAGCCAATCATACACCAATTCACACAGGAAGAAATGTTCAATCCCAAGAATTTGCAAATTAAACCAAAACAGGATGTGCTACATGTCCCGTAGAGGGAACAAAAGGGCCGCTGACCACATGGGAGCTGGCGTGGATGCGGCACAAGGGGCTTCCTCGCATGCCGCTGACAGAGTGTGAATTGTATGATGCTTTGGAGAAGAGCCTGGCATTAGCAAAGGAGACACAATGCAGGTCTGAAGAAGCCAGACAGAAGCACAGGTGCAATAGAATTCCATTCACACCAATACAGGGAACGCAGCTGCAGGGAGTAGCCAGCACACATGGGCTCTGCAGGGAGCACTGGGGCTGCTGGGCCTGATGATGCTGCCCTGACCTCTGCAATAGCCTCAAGCTGTACAACTGAGTGAGTGGGCTTTCTGCAGATTTCAGTTTGTAAAGGGACAGCAAGTAGCCCAGTGAGACGCGGACTCTTACCAGTGGTCTCTGTCAAGGTGCGGATGCTGGGCTGAGACTTAGCATGAGGTGACGACATCATTAAAGGATCCAACACATCTTCCAGCTGCTCTTCCAGGGTTTTAAACTTATGCTTTAGATTTCGTATTTCTGCTTCAAGGGCCAGAACATAATCTGCCAAAAAAAAAAAAAAAAAGCCCCGTGAATATGACACATACACAGCATCCTTTCCCACCTCCTGGCCGTGAGCACCAGCTCAGGAAGCCAATTCCAGCTCATGCCCACTGGCTTCACTGTCCCTGTTCTCCCCACACAGCAGCTTCACAGCAGTTTCCACACTGTGTGTGCCAGACTGAAAGATCTAACCTCCCCTCACTCGCCAGGGTGTGGCAGCCAGAGACCAGCACAGCCTCTGTGCTCTCCAAGAAGGGCTCAGTAATCAGGAGCAAACGCTCCACCTGCTGCCAGCCCACGTGCCTCTGTGCAAGCCGAGTCCCATCTTGAGAACAGACACTCTGTATCCATGCTGGCATCCACCCACCCACCGCCACTCATGGAGTCCCTGGGCGTTGGGTGGCCCTCAGCAGCTCTGCCACGGATGCTGCACTGGAGGAAGGGCCCAAGGTCCACCAGCCCCTGCTACCAACTACTCTGGGACGGCGTGACACCAAGCCAGCCCTGGTCCAAGTCTAAGACTTAGGTTTTTGAGTGTGTCAAGTAGGTACCCTCATTTTTTCCTTCCACTTTACAAACAGAAAAACTTTTTGGTATAAAACTTAAGACTCTTTCTCTTGGAGAAAAGAGCAGTTTTCATACTTTAAATTTATTTTCATTTTTATTTATTTATTTATTTTTGAGACGGAGTTTCACTCTTGTTACCCAGGCTGGAGTGCAATGGCGCGATCTCGGCTCACGGCAACCTCCGCCTCCTGGGTTCAGGCAATTCTCCTGCCTCAGCCTCCTGAGTAGCTGGGATTACAGGCATGCGCCACCATGCCCAGCTAATTTTTTGTATTTTTAGTAGAGACAGGGTTTCACCATGTTGACCAGGATGGTCTCGATCTCTTGACCTTGTGATCCACCTGCCTCGGCCTCCCAAAGTGCTGGGATTACAGGCTTGAGCCACCGCGCCCAGCCCATTTATTTTTATTTTTAAATTTATTTATTTATTTTGAGGCAGAGTCTAGCTCTGTCACCAGACTGGAGTGCAGTGACTCAATCTTGGCTCACTGCAACTTCTGGCTCCCAGGTTCAAGAGATTTTCCTGCCTCAGCCTCCAGAGTAGCTGGGACTATAGGCATACACTACCACGCCCAGCTAATTTTTGTATTTTTAGTAGAATGGGGTTTCACCATGTTGGCCAGGCTAGTCTCCATCTCCTGACCTCATGATCTGCTCACCTTGGCCTCCCAAAGTGCTGGGATTACAGGCATGAGCCACTGCACCGGGCCCACACTTTGAATTTATTACAGGGGATGTTAACTTACAGGACTCTGAAATGAAACCTCCTTGAAGTCAGTCAAGACCTATGTTCCCGTCTGCCCTTCTCCCTTCCACTCCCCCTTCCCCTTTCTGTCCCTGTCTCCCCTTCTCCACTTCTCCCCCTTACTCACCAGGAGTGGCGGTATCTCCCCCCGCCTTTGGGTCAGGCTGCTTTGCATCTGTGCTCTCTCCCACTCTCTGGGCGGGAAGAGGAATCTGATGGCTGAGAGTCTCCATTTCTTTCCTCATCTGTGCAATCACGTTTCGCAAGCTCATGTTCTGCTCTCGCAACCGCTGGATCTCACTGGATGGAAAGTCTTTACTTATTTCTTCATGCTGCCTAAGGAGCACCTGTCAAATACAAGGAAAAATGGCCACAAAAGATGAATGGTTCCCCAGCTGCTCCTGACGGACTGTGCCTCTGCCCTCCCCGAGCCCCTCTCAGGCCAGTCCCCTGCTTCAGCTTAGGCTGTGGTCCCTGCTGCCCTCCCCATCCCAGGCTGTGATGTCCCTCCTGACAGAAGCATGTCTGACCTGACAGAAGGACTAATATGATGCTCAAATTCCTGAAGCCTTCCATACTGCTGAGATCCCTAGAGTGTCAAACCTACAGAGGCAGAAAAGTGGAATGGGGTCCCGGGGCTGGGGGTGGGGAGGGGGAGCCAGTGTTTCCTGGGGACAGAGCCTCAGTTTGGGAGGATGAGAATGTTCTGGAGACAGTGTTGTGATGGCTGTAGAAGTGTGTGAATGCACTTCATGCTGCTGAACTGTGACCAAAAACTAGTTAAAGTGGCCAGTTTTACATTAGGTTTACTTTAGTGCAATAAAACATCCACTGAATAGGATGATGAGGAGGTCGGAAAGTGCAGAAGAAAAGGCAGTGAATACAAACACTGGCAGCAGAAAACACCCAAATGGAAGTTCACAAGGAAGGGGGCCAAAGAAGGAAAAATGAGCAGAGCTCTGGAGACCAGGGACAAGGTGAAGCAGCATCCTGCACAAAGAACCAGGGGCTGAGGTGAACGAGAGGGCAAGAGGTGCATCTACAAGGCCAGAGGTGCTACGATGTGATGAAAAGCACGCAACGCAGAGCACACGTTCAATGAAGCCACGCGAGATGCACGGAAATCACACCAAAGAGCACTGCACACTCAAACTGCTGGAAAATCAGTGACACCATGGAAACTCTGCAAGCAACCAGAGAAAAGAGACGTGTTACACTAGGGTCAAAGGACAGGCACAGCAAGGATCCGCCAAGGCGGGAGGACCAGGGGGTCAAAGGGCAGGCACAGCAAGGAGCTGCCAAGGCGGGAGGACCAGGGGGTCAAAGGGCAGGCACAGCAAGGAGCTGCCAAGGCAGGAGGACCAGGAGGCAAAAGACAGGCCCCACCTACTCAGCTCCTACAGTGGCAGTGGGGGAAAGGGTCCTTTTCTAACCAAGGGTGAGGGGCACTTCTGCCTCTGACCAGGAGGGACTCACTGCTATGAGTCTTTCCCTCTGGCTGTGAACAGCTACAAAACCAGACACATTAGAGGAAACACCTGCTTCCAGACGCCAGCAGAGACCCAGGATACCTGAAAAAGGAAACAAAGCACCAGGCTCTGTCCCAGCTCAATCACGAGTCCAGCCAAGAGGCGTGCAAAAGGCACAGCTTCCCCTCCTGTGGAGGCCACTGTGAGGGAGCCAGAGCCTGCCCCCAACTCCACATGCCATGGCTGCAAACCTGAAGCAAGACCTGGACCCCTTCCTGGGACTCTGATCCCTGGCCCACTGGATCCTCCATGCTCACCAGCAGGGCCAGCTGGCCTGGGCTTCCAGGAAGAGAGCTTCACACGACATGCTGAGGGGTGGAGATTATGAGAACAGAAGGTGAGCCTCAACTGGAAGTTCAGAAACGGAGACAAAAAACCGCCCACCACAGTGCCGTGGTGATACTTGCCAACATCATCAAGGACCATTGGTAAGAAAATCACTAGTGCATTATGGTGTGGCCACTTGATAAAATATGCAACCATTTAGATTCTGTTTGTGAAGAATTTTGATGATGTGGGAAAATATTTACAGTAGAACCAGAATGAAAGAAAGAATTCTCAGGCCAGGCACAGTGGCTCATGCCTGTAACCACTGAGGAGGTTACAGGTGGATCACGAGGTCAGGAGTTTGAGACCAGCCTGGTCAACACGATGAAACCCCGTCCCTACTAAAGATACAAAAAATTAGCTGAGTGTTGTGTTGGACGCCTGTAATCCCAGCTACTCCAGAGGCTGAGGCAGGAAGATCGCTTGAACCCAGGGTTGGGGGTGGCTCAAGGTTGCAGTGAGTCAAGATTGTCCACTGTACTCCAGCCTGGGTGACAGAGCGAGACTCCATCTCAAAAAAGAAAGGAAGAAAGAATTAACCTGGAGAAAACAGTCCCAAGAGGGACAGACCCTTGAACAACGTGCTCCACCCAGCCAGTTACAGACTTGGATACCGAGTGCCCACATGCTCTCCAGGCCCTGTCCTAGGAAGCGCTGAGGGCACTGCCTGCATGGTCTCACTGGCTGAGACCACCACAGTGACAAGCACAGGTTCCGAGGGCTGGGCGGTGTGAGGGAAAAGTCAACCTGGGAACTGCTTAGGGCAAACCTGCCTCCCATTCTATTCAAAGTCACCCCTCTGCTCACTGAGATCAGTGCATATCTGATTGCCTCCTTTGGAAAGGCTAATCAGAAGCGCAGAAGAATGCAACCGTTTGTCTCTCACCTACCTGTGACCTGGAAGCCCCTCCCCATTGGAGTCTTTCTGCCTTTGATTCGAGTTGTCCTGTCTTTCCAGACTGGACCAATGTTTACCTTACCTATGTTGGTGTTTCCCATCTCCCTAAAATGTACAAAACCAAGCTCTGTCCCAACCACCTTGGGCACAGCTCTGGACCTCCTAAGCTGTGTCATGGGTGTGCACCCTCGACCTGGCAAAATAAACTTTCTAAATGAACTGAGACCTGTCTTAGATTTTCTGGGTTCACACTTTGGCAACCACGAAGGGATTCTGAGTGGAGATGCCCCTGACCTTTGACAAAACTGCTGTCGGTGCTTTGTACTGGAATGAGCTAACTTTACGGCTCAAACCAACAGGACAATTTGCTGAGGTCTGGCAGCGCCCCCTGCAGAGAATCCCTGATCTCCCAAAATTTGATCAAGATCTAAAGTTGATGTTGCTATACAACTGCCTTTTTTTTTTTTTTTTTTTTTTTAAAGAATTTTACTTGTTTCCAACAGGGAAGGCAAGTTTTTCCTGCTTCTGTGACAGTGGAAGGCAGTAACTCCTTTATGGAGTTTGTGCTCGCTCGCAGCAGGGATGAGGTTTCTTTCCTACCTCTAGGATGGTAGAGAGCCTGAGACCCACCCCGAGGTAAGCAACTGAATTGGTATTTGTCTTGGCTAAAGTTAAGATTAACAACCAGCTGGTCTCAGTTTCCCCTTACCCTTAATGCACTCAGTGATCGTGTAATTGTGCCACCATTTGTTTTGCTTAACTGTTTTCCTTGTTACTGTTGTTTGTCGTTGTTGTTGTTTTGGTCATTTTCCCATTGGGTTTGATCAACTCTATCTGACTTCATCAAATCCAAAGGAAAGTTTCAAATTGTGGGGAACAAGGCCTCTGAAGTGGCTAAATTCACACACACACACACACACACACACACACACACACACACACACACACAGACAGTATGGTGGGAGAGAAACATGGCCAGCAAAAGGGAAAAAAAGGAGGAGGGCTGGGCACGGTGGCTCATGCCTGTAATCCCAGCCCTTTGGGAGGCTGAGGTGGGTGATCATGAGGTCAGGAGAATTGAGACTAGCCAGGCCAACATGGTGAAATCCCCTCTCTACTAAAAATACAAAAATCAGCCGTGCGTGGTGGCAGGCACCTGTAATCCCAGCTACTCCGGAGGCTGAGGCAGGAGAATCGCTTAAACCTGGGAGGCAGAGGTTGCATGAGCCAAGATCACGCCATTGCACTCCAGCCTGGCGACAGAGCGAGACTCTGTCTGGGGTAGCGGGGAGGAAGGCAAGAAAAAAGAAAGAAAAAAACCCAAAGAGGAAAGGTTTTCTATTTTGACTACTAAGGGTCTTAACTTACAAAACAGGGCCAACCTATTTGCTACCCAGGCCAAACTGAAAGAGCAATGGCTGAAATAGCAGTAATTTGTCCCAGCTAAATAATGAGACTTAAAAGATACTTTAAAGGAGCTCAATGGTTAAAAGTCAGCTTCATTAAAAGCTACATCCAAGATGTGTGTGTATATGTGTGCATACTTGTCTGCTTGTATTTAAAAGGCCTCCATGTTTTTGCTTTTCTCCTAGGACCTTGGCCTTTTTTTTTTGAGCAAAAGCTTTTTTCTTCTCAGTTGACTGAATTCTGTTCTTTTCACTGACTTCTGCTGTCTCTCCTTTCTGTCGCACCCTCTGTTGCATGAAGGACCTAAAATAGTTTATAATTGCCTGAGGCTCCTTAAAGAAAACCAAGAAGGTGCCAGACTCCCCTTGGGGGAGAAACCTGTTTTCCCTTATTGAACCCCCAAAACGTAAACTGACAAGTTCATCTCAGCTCTTAAACTGCTTACTTTTGTATTTGTGTTACCTGTTTGTTTGTTTGTTTTTTAAGACAGAGTCTTGCTCTGTCGCCAGGCTGGAGTGCAGTAGTGAGATCTTGGCTCACTGCAACCTCTACCTCCCAGGTTCAAGCGATTCTCCTGCCTCAGCCTCCCAGGTAACTGGGACTAAAGGTGCATGCCACCACACCCAGCTAATTTTTCTATTTTTAGTAGAGACGGGGTTTCACCATGTTGGCCGGGATGGTCTTGATCTCTTGACCTCGTGATCTACTCGCTTCAGCCTCCCAAAGTGTTGGGATTATAGGTGTGAGCGACTGCACTCAGCCCTGTTTTTTTTTCTGTTTTTTTTTGACTAAAATAGTTATTGCAACAGAGGTTACTCTTGGGTTTTTAAAGAAGAGTATGGCTTAGACACTTAGAAATGTCTTTGTTTAGGCCGGGTGCAGTGGCTCGTGCCTGTAATTGCAGCACTTTGAAAGGCCGAGACTGTGGCTCACCTGAGGTCAGGAGTTCAAGACCAGTCTGGCCAACATGGCAAAACCCTGTCTCTACTAAAAATACAAAAATTAGCTGGGCATCATGGTGGGCGCCTGTAATCCCAGCTACTCGGAAGGCTGAGGCAGGAGGATTGCTTGAACCTGGGAGGTGGAGGTTGCAGTGAGCCGAGATCATGCCACTGCACTCCAGAATGGGCAACAGAGTGAGAATCCATCTCTAAGAAAATAAAAAAAAAAGTATTTGTTTAAAAAA